TAAAACTTATTGGAGACATTTTACTACTTTGAGGACTTGGCATATACAGAGCCCTGAAGCTGATGAGAAACGTGGATGTTGAAGTCCACACAAAGGTATCTGCTAGGATTACACAATAGTAAGGTGAAGGTAAAAACAAATGATGCCGGGGGTTTCCTTACCCAACAGGCCCAATCAGGGAATTGTTAAGACAGAGTTGGAACTGTTACAAACTTCGAGTATTTCAAATTGTCCTTGTGATCTTAAACCATAAGGTACCAGCAAAGGAAGACAAGGTTGAGTGACACTTGGTGAAACATCTCAATCATTCATATATTGTCAAGATTTACATATCAAATTTTGCTTTTTGTACCTTTACATGATCATTAAGCATATTTTGACATAGAAAACTGGAAACATGCATCTCCCCAACTCTGCCACTATCATGGTGTATTTATCATTATCATTTTACTTTTTCATTCAACACTTATTCATTGAGCATGGTGAGCAATACAAAGTCCCTTCCCTCAAGGAGTTATAATCTAGTGTAAGAAAACCAAAATAGAAAAGAAACAACAAAATATATTCACAGGTTATGGTTGGTGCTATTATTGGCCTGGTGTATTGAACAACTGCTATGTAAGGCTCTGTGGTGTCCACAAAAATGAATCAGATGGTAATCTGCCAGCAAGGGGCTAAAATCTGTGATATAACAGACCAAATAATTGTCAGTTTCTGGTAAAAAGGGTCACTAAGGTATGGTAAATTAGAGTTGTTTTGAGGATTAGATTATATACTAATTATGGTTCCTCACAAACTGATATGCCATGCAATATGAAACACTTCAGGTAGTCACTAATGTAAAAAAAAGAATCTAAAAACAGGGAACTGTGTCTGGTATAGTGTTTCTAAGACTGAAAATAAAGGAATTTCATGCTTCAAAGTTATTTTTTTCTTTCTAGGTCAAACAAAATCTGATGCAAAATAGAAAATACAAAGCTATACAGTAATACTTAATTGCCTCAACAGTAAGATGGCAATTTTAGGTTCAATGATTTTATTTGCTGCCAGCTTCCGCATATACTGCACTAACATTTGCCAGTTGGGTTCAGAATATGGACCAGAAAAAAGAAAACACAACCAGTCATATTTATATTATCAAAAGATTCTCTTTCTTCTTAGAAGTGTTTGTGTGCCAGGGATACAGAATTATTTGTCACTTTTTGATCCAGGATGTATCTATGACTTCTCAAGAGCCATTCATACCAGCTTAATGGTACAATCACCTAATTTGAGAAGTGGTGCTTCACTGAGACCCAAAGGGGAGACAAGAAAAGGGTTTAGTTTCACTCTGAAGTGGGTACCACTGCCAGCGATACAGAAACAATTTTATTTCAACCTCTGCTGCCAGGTCTCTGCCTCCCGTTTCCTGTGTGGCTCAAAATGGATGACCCTGGGACAATGTGTTATTTACTGCACACTGCAGTAACACTTTGATATGTCTTATGATATAAAGGAGAGAAAAATGAACTCATGCTAAGTCCCACAACTCAAAGGATCCTGTACAAAACATCACCTTCTTATACTTGGGATGTATTTGTCGCAGAGGTGTGCGATTCAGCACATAAAAATACTTGAGTAGCAATTAAGTACAGCTTGTTTTTGGTCTATGAGAATAACTATATTGGCTGGATCCCCCAGAAGTAGCCTGAGATATGATTTCAAAGGCTAACACCAGAAGGGGAGTTGGGGACGCAGATGGGAAAGGGAAGGAAACCAGAAAAGGTGTGCTGGAAGGCGCTCCTGAGGGCACTGGTGCTCAGGGTCCAGAGGCGCTCTAGATAACATGCCTCTGAGTACCCCCCAGAGGCAGTTGGGATAGTTAATATAACTTCTTGTCTGTCTGTCTGAAGCCCAAAGGGGCAGGTATTCCCAGAGAGCAGAGGGGCCAGCAGAGGGATGAGGGTGGGCTATGGTGGCCTCTGCTCTGACATGTTGTGCTCACTTTGTCCTGGATGGATCCCTCGTGCCGACCTCCAGTCACACCCACATCGGGAGTGTCCACGGATCGAGCTACGGGCTTCTGCTGCGGTTGATCCTGAGGGCACAGTGATGCTCACCATCTTCCTTCTTTATGCCCTTTCTAGATTCTCCTCACCCAAGCTAGCACTTGTGCTGGCCTGGGTGGCTTGCTGGATGAGGTGACCCAGACCTTTGTCCCTGTGGGGTCTGAGTCCCTGGTTGCCATGCTCTTGTCAGACCAGCGTTGCTGCCCATTCACTGATATCACCAGGCATGGAAAAGATGCCTAGGGAGTAAGTATCCTGAGGTCCAGAAAGAAGCCTCCCTGCCCTTATTTCCTCCTGATCATAAGGGTCAATTTTTTGTTTCCTGTGTGAGGAGCCCAAACAAGGAAAGGCCTTTAGATTTCCTGGAACCTTGTTTCCCATTAGAGAATCCTCCCCATCATAGGTGCCAGGACTCTGTCGGGAATGCAGCACCATATGCTGGTATCAGGTTCACAATATATGCTGCATTCCATTCCTTCAGACCACAGAAAGCACGGCATCCCAACCCTGCAAAATGGTACCCCCGAGCCAGAACCTTAGTCTAACTTTATAAGGCCCTTCTAATGTTCTATCAGGGTAGCAGCCTCTGGTGGATGGCAGACCCAGTGGCTCTTGTCCCCTTTGTCTTACCTCTTTCACTCTTAAGCGGATCCCTGGCCCCAAGGGATATTATGGGAAATCCCATGATGTTAAGTCAGGCAGACACTTTGTGAACAATTGAATAGTGACGTTAGTGAGGTCCCAGCAGGCAGGGAAGACAATCCCAAACCCAGGTTATGTATCTGGGTCTGAGGAAATCAACCTATCACTGCTGCCTGGGTTCTTAGAAGGATGGTACAACACCACTGGCTGCATATTGGCCACTGAAGCAGCGTGCAAGGTTTCTGCACATTGTCTAGATCTGTCTTGTTGAGAGGGGTCTCTGCAGCTCCAAGCTGCCACTGTGGCTACTCCATTCACAGGCCTTTTGCACACCAGGATGGCCTACAACAAATTTGAGGCTGATCAAATTTTCCTGGGTACTCAGTACCTTCTGCTGTATGCTTTCAGGTGGGCACTCATGTGGGACACACAGATGGACTAAAATGAAGTTTGTGTGAGGTGCATGGTTCCTCACCATGGCTGTGCATCGACTTCAAGGCTTCCCTCCTCTCTGTTTGAGACAGGGACCGTGGATGTAGTCAGGGTAGGGTGAGGGCCTCGGGAGGGGGCAGGGTGGGATATTTGCAGTCAGAGCATTGTAACTACATGCAAGGAATCCCCCCTACTAAAACTCTATGTTAAACATTAAGCTCTAGAATCATTCTTCAGTGAGATCAGCTAATGTTCCCCACATAAAGAAGAGTAACACATGTTTTATTATGCTAATCATTCGTAACCATGTGTAAGATTCACGTTAGCATACTAAAAGGCCCAGGCCTATGTGCTGTCTTTCCTCCTTCAAATCTGAGGAGGTGATTTTACATACTGAGCAACTAACTTAGCATGCAGACCCAGCTGTAGGCGGCATGGTAAAAGGCAGGAAGAATTCCATCTTAAAGATAAGATTGCATTTTAACACCCAGGAAGTTCAAGAGGCAAGATTCTTTAGCAAGTAGACAATACCTCAGCCCACCTTGGGGGCTGGGCAGGCAGCCTTTTGATGTGTTCCCGGACCAAGGCGCTGGCGTCCCGGAGAGAAATCAAGGCAGGAAATTCCTTACGTTAATTTTTAATATTCAGGGACCACTTAACAAGTTCACACCCCTAAACTCTTTCTCACATTCTCGAAAAATCCTCAACTGCCTATAAAACCCCCTAGACAACGCACCACTACGGACGCTCTTGTCCCCTCCTGGCGTGAGCTGGGAGCTCTGTCTTTCACTGTATCTCTAAATGAAAGCCTGAAAAGCCTGTACCTCGCTCTCCTACCTTGACTGTTAGTGAAGCTCATTCTTCGGCTTCATGAACAAGAACCCCGGCATCACGTTCAGCTGTGCAGGCTACTCTGCCAGTCTTGTACCTGTGGGAAGCAGGTAGCATACTCTTCATCACAGAGTTCCAATGACAGACTAACTCTCCCAAGAACTGCCCCCATGCTCAGCTCCTCTGATGGCAGCAAACACAGGCCCCCCTGTGCCTTAGATCAGCAAGTACTCACCCAGCTTAGAGCTCTGTGGGTGAATCTCTTCTAAGCCTGGAGCAGGTGTCTTGACCCCAGTTGTTTGGGCTCTCTTTATAATGTGGAGTGACTTTAGGGTGATCCTGTGTCTAAACAGGGACACTTTTGACAGTGAAGGTGTGTGTGGAGGGGAGGTGGGGGAAGTGTCTTAATCAAGCCATGATAACAGACAAAAACCAGAGTTATCTCAAGCACAGTGGGACGTATGATCACCCGAGTTATCTGCAAGCTTTTCCAGTCCAAGTAGCCAATTCCAGGAAAACCAGAAAAATCCCTTTTATACCCTGTTACACAAACTTAAACTCCACAGTCCTCCACGATGTCATTTCTTTGCACAGGCTGTCAACTCCTTCGCTCACTGCTCCTTCTGCCTTGTAAAACTCCAATCTCGGTGACAATTTTCTACCAACTCTACCAGAGCAGCTGCTATATGCACAAGCATACTGACTGGTTCCACTTTAAGCTTAGGACTCCATATCCCAAGAGGGCTTTTAGTCTGGAAATCCTGCCACATTTTCTTAGGAATGTACTTCACAATATCCAAGACAAAGAGGTACCCTTTCTCCCCAAGCCTCCCTGCCCCGTCCTGCACTTTCACGGACGGCCTCGCAGCGTCTTCCACTCCTGCAGCAGAAGCACGCGGAAGTACACTGCGCCCTCTCCCCACGGGCCTCGGGGCGACGCCGTCATTCGTCACCCAGGGCGGCATTGGTCTCTCAGCGCCCTTCCTTTCTCTCCTGCCCTGCGTGGTGTACGCTCCGCCCGGCAACAGCCGGCCTGGGGGCCGCGCACGGATGAAGGGGTCCTTTGGGGTGCTACACTCAGGGTCGCGGCTGTCGCGGGTGTCTGCTGGCATTTGCTCGGTCTGGGACCTCTGTGCCTCCCTGGCCTCCGGAACCTCGGCTGGGCTACACGTCAGGTCCAGTTAGGAAACCTCCGCACACACCCGGGCCACTCAGGTAGCGAGGCCGAAGGCGCCTCGCTCGCCCATCGACAGCTCGGCGCTCGGCTGCCCGGCGGATCGACGCCCTCGGCGCTCCTGCGGGCGGAAGTGGAGGCGCCGCGGTTGGGGTGGCGGACCGGGAGCTCGTCGTTGGAGCAACTGCGGGCCGGTCTGTGCGGCTCGGGCGGGCTGCAGGCGGGCCGCAGGTATGTGTCTGAACGCGGAGGCCCCGGCTAGGGCTGCGGAAGGCGCGGGCGGGCGGGCAGCCGGCCGGCTCGGCGGAGAGAGGGTGCAGGCCTCTCCGTGCCGGCCCTCTCCGCGCCGGCCCTCGCTGACCGCAGGGCTGAGAAGGAAGGGGCGTCCCGCGTCCCCGAGCCTCCACTCGCAGGCCGGCCGGGCGCCCGAGCCGCAGCGCCCCGAGCCCCTGCGCCCAGCTGCGCGAGCTCCCGCCTCCCGTGCGCGCGGCGGGCCGCCCAGCTGTCACTGGGTCCGGTTTGAGGACCTGCCCTTTAAGAGCGACCGTGCGGCTTGTTTTGCTTGATTTGCTTACGTTTGCATCAGAACTTCCCTGAGAGTTTAGGTTCTTGTAGCTGTTCTGAGCGTTTACATTACCTCAGTTTACATTCTCACCGGAAGATGGTAGATATTACCCCCATGTTTTGGGGCTACAGGAAAATGGAAGCCCAGAGAGGTTAAGTAACGCACTCAGCGCTGTAGCTGCCACCAGAACCTGAGACCCTGGAGCCTGTCCACCCGGCCACTTTGTTCTTTCTTCCCTTTAAGTCTGGTGCTGCTTAACTTGGTGTTTTAAGATTTTTGTGAATGCACACTTTTCTTAATTCCAAGAAACAGTTCTTGAAAGAGCTTGTCTTTAAGAGCAATTCTTTAAGTGGAAATAAGGTGTTATTATATGCCAAAGGTCAGTTATACTAATAGGTATATGGAACTTTGTTTCATTTTTTTATTACTGAATAAACTTACAAGGAAATCTTTAAAAAGTATTATAAAAATCATCCACATTTTAAATCATTTGTATGTACTATATTGAAAAGCTGTCTGGAATTGTGGTTATATGGATCTCCTAATGAATAACTGAAAGTTATTGACTCAAAGGGTGATAATAGAAAGAGGATGATGTGTGCTTAGTACTTAAATGCTCTTTTCTGTTGAAGTAGAAACTTAATAATTTTAAGCAGAGGATGCCGCAGAATAACTTGAAACAACTCTTTGATGTTTCAGAAGGGGAATTTTTTCTTGTGAAGTATTTAACTTACCTATACTGAATATTATTTTGAACTGTTACCTTTCTGAAGGACGATTATTAACCCGCTACATTAAAGTTTAATTCATTCCACAAATATTTTAGGGGCCTGTTATGTATGAATCTTAAGGGAAATGAAATTGGTACTCAAAAATTTTTGGAAAGACAGTCTTCTAATAAAGGACTGTGGATAATTTGTAATGCCAGGCAGTAGCAGGATTAGGCCATATAGGAAATACAGTTATATAGTTAGTTTTCAA